AGTCTCTACTTCCGAATTATAGGGAGTACCATTCCCAAGAATCACAGTTATTTACGCTTTCATAGATATACAATGACAAACTGTTTATTACCATTTTCTCCTACGATAATTCATGTACAAAACCAAATATGGCATGTCTGTCTTTATTTTCTTTTATCCTCGTTTACAGCTGCGTCCAAACTTTGCTTGCCGATTGGAAAATATCTGTACTTATGTTCAAATCAATTGTACTTATATCCAATTGAAGACAGGTTTAATTCAATTATACCTATCTTTAATTCATTTGGAGATAGGTACAATTATTTTGAAGATCGATATAATTAAATTGAAGATAGGTACAATTACTAAGAATTCAAGGAATTAGTTATAAGTGATTTAAAGGTAGGTGCAATTGAATTGAATCTAGGTGTAATTGCTTTATACCTATCTTCAAGTACGTATATTTTTTGTGGAAATGTATAAATTGTATCTATCTTTAATTGCATTGTACCTATCTTTTCAAATTGAACCTATCTTCAAATGATTTAGAGTTAGGTAAAATCAACTGAATCTATCTTCATTTGAATTGCACCTATCTGTAATTGAATTAAAGATAAATTTAATTTATTTGAACTTAGGTACAATTATTCTCAGATAAGTTTAATCATTTACATCTATGTTTAATTCATTTAGAATTATCTTTAATTCAATTGTACCTATCATCAATTTATTTGAATATAGATTCAGTTACTTTAAGATAGGTACAATTATTTGATTTGTACATATCTTCAAATATTTGTAACTATCTTGAAATCAATTGTACCTATACTCAAATGAATTGAAGATTGGTTTAATTCAATTTTAATTTTCTTCAATTCTTTTGGAGATAGGTATGCTGGATTTGAAGATATGTATAATACAATTGAGGATTCAATTTCTTGGTTCAAATACCAAGAATTAAAGACAGGTACACTAGACAAAATTGCTAACGCACCACCAAAAAAATTTAATATTTTACATTTCAAAACTTGTTTATGATGTACTTGATATATAATTATGTTACTTAAATAAAAAAAAAATGAGGCATTTAAATGTCTTTACTGATAGATAACTACAATGTTTACTGAAGCGTAACCATTTCACAGAAAAAATTAAAATCGTGTCCATACTTTTTCGGAAGAAAAAATTTCTATTTTTTCTTTGTGTTCTTTATATTTGTACTAATTAAAAACTCAGAAAAAAAGTTTCACCGTATGCGTCGTTTGACCTTAGAAGAGCGTGTTAAAGCAGGCAGTATGGTGGCTGCAAGGGGTTCCTTTGGAGAGATTTGTAAAAAATGAAAACAATTAAAAGATTATGAATTCCTTTAATGAGAAATTGTTGCAAATAGATTAACAAAAATTAAAATGTTTACTATAGATAGCCACGGCATTAAGTAAGCAGCACACGATAATTTGAAAATTGTACCACAAAATTGGGTCAACCGGAAGTTGGGTGGATTTGCTATGGGCACCAAGGCACTGGATGACTACAGGCGATATGATAGTCAATAGCTGTATATTATTTGATTTTTAACTGGGAGACTGCTTCTGTGGCAACCTCACGGACCACCTTTGGTGATCACCTGGACAAAAACGGTGCGCAGTGCACGTCGGGAAATTAGTTTTCGGGCAAGAAGGTCATTTAAGGGTCTTGTCATGACATAAAGACATTTGTCAATCCCACTGTTTTGGAAAAGATGGCATATTATATATACTATTACCGATCGGGCAAATGTTCAATTCACAAATAAGAATAACGAGTGGTGCGTTAGCAATTTTGTCTAGTGTATAATTGATTTTGAAGATGGGTGCAATTGAATTGAACCTAGGTAAAACCGTATTATTGATTTGTACCATTTTTCAATCATTTGTGGAGATGTTTTAATTGCACCTATCTTAAAATCCAGTGTACCTAGCTTCAAATGATTTAGAGGTAGGTATGACAGAGTTGCACCTACCCATCTGTAATGGAATTAAAGACAACTTTAATTTATTTCAACCTAGAATCAATTATTTAAAGATATGTGTAATTATTTACTCATTAAAGATATGTGTAATTATTTACTCATATCCTTAATTCATTTAGACATATCTTTAATTCAATTGTACCTATCTTCTAGGTACAAGTATTTGAAATATTTGACGATAGCTTCAAAAATCATTTCAGTATTGAAAAGATAAAATAAACAAGTGGTCCCACATACCCCTAAAACTGGGGGGGGGGGTATGATTTGAACAAAATTGAATCTACACTACCTGACGATGATTCCACATGAGTTTCATCTTTCTTGGCCCATTGGTTCTCGAGAAGAAGATTTTTAAATGACGCCATTAATTTTTCACTATTTTTTAATTATCTCCCCTTGGAACAGGGCATGGCCCTTCATTTGAACAAACTTGAACCCCCTTCACCTAAGGATACTCTGTGCCTTGTTTGGTTGAAATTGGCCCAGTGGTTCTGCAGAAGAAGATGAAATTGTGAAAAGTTAACGACGACAGACAACGGACAAATTTCGATCAGAAAAGCTCATTTGAGCCTTCGGCTCAGGTGAGCTAAAACTCAGTGCGATTAAATATTCAATCCTAAAGTTTAAATATTGCAATTAAAATATATTTTTTTGGTTTACATTTTATTTTTAAATACATAACGATATTTTTCTGATTTAATATTAAAAACATTTTTTATAGCAAAACACAACTAGATATTCTGATGATATTGTAGAAGAGAATAGTAATAAATAGCTGGCCAATGCATTTTCTCTGAAAGCGTAAATGACTACGATTATAGGGAAGGGAGTACTCCATGTAATTCGGAGTAAGATACCTGGTGTTGTTACTATACTATCGGGTTAAAAATTAATTACAGAAACAAGTGCCTGTGACATCGGGCTCCGAATCCATCGCAAATTAAATAAAGATGTCTCACAGTGTATCAAGACCGTTATCTATCTTTTCAGAAACACAGAAAAGAAAGATGCCAGGAAAAAAGGCATGGTATGAAAGGATACTTTGAAATGCTTCAACCGTTTGTGTATATCTTATTTTTTACTCTTAAAAATGAGCCTCTCATTGTACCTCGTACGTGTACATGTATATCATGCGATGAGTTTGGAAAATAAATCCCTTTTAGCCCACCTGAGCTGAAAATGAAGCTCAAATGAGCTTTTCTGATCACCCGTTGACCGCCCGTCTGTCTGTAAACTTTTAACATTTTCAACTTCTTCTCAAGAACCACTGGTCCAATTTGAACCAAAGTTGGCACAAAGCATCGTTGGGTAAAAGAAGTTCTACATTGTTCAAATGAAAGGCCAAACCCCTTCCAAGGGGAGATAATCATGAAAAGGCAAAAATAGGGTGTGTCATAAAAAAGTCTTCTTCTCAAGGACTAGTGGACCAGAAAAGGAGAAACATATGTAGAAGCTTCCTGACGTAGTGTAGAATATAAATTTTTCAAGTCTTTGTCTCTGGGATAGGTTGAGCCACAATAGGGGATGAAAATTTTACATTGTTTTATATATAGAACAATTATTTTAGAATCTTCTTTTCAAGAACCATTGAACTAGAAAAGATGAAACTTATGTGAAAGCTTCCTGATCGCTGAGGTAGTGTAGATTTTAAATTGTTCAGAACATGGTCCCCGGGAGTAGGGTAGGGACACCATGGAGAATCAAATTTTTATTTTAAATATACAGGAACAAAAAATTTTAAAAAATCTCAAGAACCACTGGAACCAGAAAAATTTAACTTAATCAGTATGTGAAAACTTCCTAGTACTTTTAATATATCAAAAGCTCTTAATATTAGCAAAAATGGCTGCTGTTTTTAATCATATAATGATTCCATATATTTTTTTTTCTAATACCTTTGTGGTATGAAACAGCATATACACGACTTATTAATGCTGTCACTATAGGATTGTGTAGTATATTCAATGACAAGTGGAAACATGCATTCTCTGACGTACAAATCAGCAAAGAATGAAATTGAATTTCGCTAATTGAGGGGCATCAAAAGTGAGAGTAAGTCATTTCTTGACGTCAACAAAAAATGATCTTCATTGGTTTGTATAGACCTACGTATTATGTGTGACAAGATGTAGAGGAATCTTTGTTACTCCTCAACTGGATGTAATTGTCAAACCACAGAAAAATCGTTGTAGAAAAAAAAGAATCGCCAAAAATTAATTTCAAAAATGAATTCACTGAATCAAAGGTGAAATTTTAACAGTGAATTCCAAATACATCTTAATATAAAATTTACTGGAAGATGAATAAACAGCAAGTTTGCTTTATATTTGATTTTTTGTGTGTTGTCTGATATAATTTCTGTTTGGAGAACGTCCTCTGATTTAATTGCAGAACATTAGATAAAAGAAAGAAACATTTTGATAGAAACAAAGTTAGATTTTGAAACTACTGTATAATTTAATCATTTGCTACTGATGTTATTAAGTGAATAAATGGACTGGAACTGTTTTCTCTAAAAATAATTCATATTCAACTCCAAAATACGACCAGTCATTAACTCTGAACCAATTAAAAAACTTACAATGTCAGTACAATTTGACCGTCCTTCTCTTAACGGTCTTTGTTAAATATTAACGAAATCCAAAAAGGGATACTGACGTTTTCTACTTTGAAGTAGAGAATCCTTGGTTTATTTAAAATGTATAACCAGTGTATGGTCCTGTTGACTTATTTTAATGAATATAAGCATCTAGATTTAGCGTGCAAGAAATACAGACCCACTGTATAAGAATTTCGATTTCAGTGTGTTGTATAAATCATACACAAAAGCCACATCTGTTGTTCCCAAATTCTTCACACAGAATTGTAAGTCTGTCCATAACAGTGTAATTATTTCAATTAATAACTGATGATATTTAGACGTGGTAAATAATCTTCATGGGAACTATTAATCAAACAATGTAGACATACAACATCGATTTTTTTTTCTTTCGTCCTTTACTGCAGACAGTGTCCTGGCTCGGCTTTATTACATAGTTTGTGTACAGCCAACGGATCAATGCAAAAAGAGTTGTATCGATCGACAGCATTACGCTTCAAGTTTAGTTCTTAGATTGTCGAGTATTGGATTTCTTACGGCAAAAGACTAATATTCGGGGTCTCTTCCAGCAAACAGCTAGGTTGGCGTGTTTGACGCAATTGAAGCTTTTAATAACATGGAAAATTTGGAATCAATCAGATTTATGCGCCTCTGCAAAGGCTGTTTCAGAGTTCTATTAAGCTGATTGGATTTTAATTCAAACTGTAATATGGGTAAGATCTACAGGTGTTTGTCATATGATGAATTTCAGTAATGACTATGACTATTCTTAGATATGTAAAATCTAAGTAATTTAAAGAACTTATAGATTATGAAATACTTGGGGTACGTAATCGACAGTTTTGGCTTTCACATGTGAAATAGATTTGCTTCGTTTAGCCGTACTCATTCACTTTCACTTAAAATACATGAAATAACTTCCCTTTTTAGAGATATTCTCTTGTCGATGACAAAGCTACCCTAACATCTCCAGTATGGTTCGTTGGGATCTGGCTCTCGTGTTCTGTGCCTCTGGTTTTCACATCTTTCTGGGGGTTCTCAGTGTGTGTGTGGGTGTCATTCTCAGTATTCAGGCGGAAGTCTGGTTAGCCCACAGCGTATCGCCAATATGGAGTGGCGGTATTGTAAGTACATGTTTTGTGTCTACAAAAGGTCCTTCTCTTAATCCTATCGAACTCGTTCTCAGAAAGTATTTCTCTCTTTATTGGCAGTTTTTCATAACTGGACTAGTTGGAATACTTTGTGCAAGAAGAAAAACGTCCTATGTGGTAAGTAATTCTTTTGAATTCATTTGTTTTATTTTCAATAATAATATTATAAACAACTAATAGTATCATACTTTCTTTAGATAATGTGTTTCATTGCCATATCAGCCGTTTCCATGGTGACGACCTTTGTCAGTTTTCAACTCTTGAGAGTTGGTCTTCAGAACCATGCTACTGACGGCAGTACTTTCCAGAAGGAAGAGAAGGACCCCCTGATTCTGATTGCCCTGGTAACCGCGGGGGTAGAATGTCTGATTTGTATCCTCTCTATCCTCCTCAGCTGTCGCGTGGCCAAAATAGCAAAGGAGGAAATGTGTCAACAGCGAGAGGGGATGTTCCACATTAAGGTACTTGGACAAAAAGACATTGTGGTCGTAACCAAACCGCTCCTAGATAGTGCTAAAGACACTGTTATGTAGGCAGCGCTTATAAAGACGGTGCTAAAGACACTGTTAATTAATTGTAACGCTATATGTTCACATTTTGTTTTTAAGAATGACATTTAAGACATATATTTGTCAGATATTATGGTTGGCAAATGTATGTTTAAGAAAGTTCGGCAGAACAATCCTCGCATTTATCGTTTATGTGAATATAATTATATATTGCAACGTTTCTGTAGGACAACGAATGTATATCTCTATATTGTTCCCCATCGTAAAGAAAATCATTGATTATCCGACAATTAAACCCATCAGATCACATGATTTATTAATATTGTGAAAATTAAGAGATGAGCATGCACTGATGTAGAATTAGAAGGTGATTCATGTTAATGTATAGATAGAGTATGAAAGATTAAAATAGCAGAAAAATATTTTTCTTTTCTCTATTTTTGTATTGCCAAATTAATTCCGCTCTGGTCCTCTGATAAAAATACGATGTCAATAACACATTTTTCACGTACAGGAAAATGGTTCCTCTTTTGTGTTTACAAATATCCAGGACAACTTTAGTAACCTCGAAGAGAGCAGTGTCGACATGCAAGCGGAAGCACCGCAGTTGTCTGGTTCCCATCCGTCCATTTCGAGGAACACAAAGGGGATCCGCTATGGATGTCATGAACCAAGTTATACGTCAGAAGAATGGAATAACGGATCAAATCCGGTGTCTATACCGGTTATCAAAATTAATACAGAACTGGAGGAAGAAATTTCACAATCTGAAAGTCAGACAGGGGAAGACGGATCAGCTATTTATATAGAAATAAATAGATAAGAAATCAGAGAATCATTTATTTATGTACAACAACGAATTCTAATATAATCCATACCAAAATACTAGACTGGGAAATAAGATTCTTAATGGTAAAAAAAGGAACCGTGTAATTATGAACTCCTTAACACCCTATCTGGTGATACAACTGATTAAAATGCTAGAGTACCATCAATATCATACGTACTCGTGTGGAAATAGAACAAAGGGCTCAGGTTTCCGTTTTAATAGAGGGATATGACACCGATTTCTTGTTTCTCTTGAAACTGATTAAAGATGATTTGTCAGATATATAGTGCCTTGACTAAGTTAAATAAGATGTCTACAAATAAAGACCGGTGAAAAACTTTAATTATGTGTCTCTAAATATTGATATAGGAGATTTGTTACACCTTTCTTCTCAAACTGATCGGCCTCCACATCATGCAAAGGGATTGCAAGCCGAAACCTTTACCATAAACCAAGATATACGTCAACCCCTATGTTTGATGTGTGAAGTAGTAAAGAAAGGGCATAAGAATCGACTATCACTGATTTTTAAGGAAACAAGAATAATAGAGAAGAGGCCCTTTTTCTGTTGTAATCTTTAGTACTTTATAAAACATTTTTCCAAAGATTGCTTTGCTTTCATGAAGGTTATTCTCGTCGTAACCATAATTTTTCTTAAATACTTGGTTAAATACAAGATACAAGATACAAGATTTATTAGATTTATTAGTCCAATTTGGGCCCCCGGAGGAGCAATATAACCTCCCAGTTAATAAAACAGTGTATGGGGATTAAATGTAAAATATGTATACAGTATGTAAGGATATAAATGATATATGCATTTTCTTCAACCTCATATTTAGTTAAATTTATAAAATGCTCCCTTAAAATTGAATTCTAGCAAAAAAAAAAAAACAACTATTTTTCATTCACATTCATATAAGATTAATGTCTTCTCGAAAGAAAAAAAAACCATATTTAATTTATTTCATGGAATGCTCGAAAATTTCGTCAAAAAAAGTTACGAAACCAATTAAAATTTAAACGCCCTTAAGTTTAAATAATTATTATTTAAAAGAACCATTCATGTGGCCACAGTCAGTTGGATTTTTCTCACATCGAATCTTATAACAGTATTAAAGAATTAAGACATCTGCCTCAAATTTTAATATTCTAATTTTTAAGTTTATCATAAGCATAAAAATTATCAATAAAAATGAATAATATATTCAATGGTTGATAAACTGTGATAATCAAAAATCAGGTGTTAGATAGATTTATTTTTCATTGTTGACCTTAGCGTCTTTATCATTCCTGTAACAAAAACCATGAATTCTTAAAAACATACTGATAAAGCTGATGAAGTCTGTGTTCGGACCATCTATTAAGTACTGCTTTTTTTCTGCATATCGATACTATATTACGTTCAGCTCCTTGTATCATAACCTGTTAAGACGTCACTTTTTCTCATGTGGTTTGTTTTTTACTCTTGAATTGTTTTTTTTTAAGTAAAGAAAGTTTTATATGGAAAATGTCTGCAGTATTTATCAATGAATTCAGTTTTAGAGAAACTGTGTTTCAAAGATGAGACGGTCTGAAGCAAATGTTTGTTTGAAGGTATTTACATGTACATGTATTTTGATTTTTTTTTAAATTGAAACGTATTTATAGAAATCTTTTTTATTCTTCATTTTTTCCTTTTATAGATATTAAAGGTTTGAAGTTAATATTTTCTCAGATTTTCTGTATAATATCATGACTTATATGTTGCTATAGCATTTCATAGTAAAATATAATAAAAATCTTATTTCATCTCAAAGTTATTGAAAATTCAAATTTCTGGACGCGTTTGATTGACACATCCTTGCACTTTCACAATTTTTAATTTTATTCTTAATATTGAAGAAAAGTGGCAGTTTTGTTGTGTATTAATGAAAAGTATTAAAACTATAATCCAGAAAATTCAGAGTAGAAATGTTCGAAAGCAAAACCCACTCACAGTATTGTCAGTCCGTGCTCAGTGGTGTGTGCAGACTTTAACAATTGAACACACCCGGTGAATTGTTAACATTAACAATAACAGAGCTCGTGCCCTGTTTACAGAAACAGTTTACGTTTCACGGGTGTATTCAATTTGTTAAACTCTGTACACAACACTGAGCACGGGCTGATGATATTAGTGAGGGGTTTGCTTTCGCACATTTCTACTCTGAATTTTCTGGATTATAGATGTAATGTTTTTCATTAATACAAAACAAAATCGCTTCTTTTCTTAAATATTAAGGATAAAGATAAAATTTGTGAAAGTGCAAGAATGTGTTAATCAAACGCGTCCAGGAATTCGTAGTTCCAATAATTTCCAGATAGAATAAGTTTTTAACTGTATTTTCGTGTGAAATGCTATTGCAATATATAAGTCGTGATATTATACAGAAATTTTGAGAAAATATTAACTTCAAATCTGTGTCTAAGCACCTTTAAGTATAAACAATGTTTTGTTATTAATTTCAAATTTAACGATGTTTTCAAATAAAATTATCTTGTTGGATTTGTTCAGCTCGTTCGTTGAGACTATACTGTAATCCTCAACACATATGTACATGTAAGCTTAGCCACAGATGCATAAAGAGAAGATCCAAGTCAATTAATTTTAAAAATTGTTACCATATAAGGCCGATATATTATGAATAGGAAGGCAGTAGTATCTAACCTTCCTACTATATTACATATTTAACTTACATGATGAAAAAACATAGGAAAACAGCAATAAGGTTATAGCTGTTCAAAACAACCGTTTAGTAAATCTCATAATACTGTTAGAAATTGTGATTATACGCAGATGCACAGGATACGAGCATTTTGTTCCAAATATTTTTCTTGCATTAATGAGAAATTAATGATTTTTGATTGTATTGGACTACTATTTTTTCGTGACTTTTGCTTAACAGTCGTAATAACCATAAGGTTACAAATATGATTTATGGACCCCATTGGAAAATAGTGATTATTGGTTGTTTGAATTGAAACAAGGCTTAGACCCTCTGAGGAAACGCTATAAATAACCAATAGACACTACCGAAAGGCATCTTAACTATTCATAGAAAAACAGCAAATAAATAAAAATGTACCAAAGCCAACATTTGTATAAAAAGCTTTATATTTTATATTATTAGTAAAAAAAAAAAAATATACATTAGGACAATGTGTACGCATTCTCTGCTAAAACTAACACAATCAGTCAACATGTCATTACATGTATTTTGCTAAAAAAAAAAAAAAAAAAAAAAAATTAAGAAATAAGAAAATAAGGTTGACAGTTTTTTTTAACAATTTTAAAAGGATTAGCAGTAATATAAATGCGTAATATATACTACCTAAATTTGACTTTATACATATTTCTAAATAATACTCATTTGGTAGGCTATATGAATTTGTTTCAGGCACATTACTGCTGCCATCATGATAGCATCGTCTAAAGTCTTTGGCCAGCACTTCATTTATAAACCTTATTTCTGCTTACCAAACGCATTCATTTTATCAAAGACTACCATTAGTCTAGATCGAATCAACACAGAGGTAATTTACCCTACGCAGCATGCAATCATTTCCGTAGTGGATTCCCAAATAACTAATTAAAAGATTTTTCACTTCCTGTTGTTTGAAATTTTTTTTGCAAATTCTACCACTTTTCATTATAATATTTTATGCATTTTGACAAGAGCAGCAAAAATTTTAATGGTTAAGGGATGGGATTCGCAACCATTTTCAGAAGATTATAATGGTAAAGATAAATCAACATTTCACCATTTTAACTCATTCTTGAAATATTTAGACATTCCTGATTAGCACGATCAATTAAAGGGAGGATTAGGATGACTATAAAGTTTATGACATTTGACTAATAAGTGCGACATCAGAAGGAATAAGTATATACATTTACATGTATATTGCTGAAATTCCAAAATTTTAGGATTTATGACCAAAGATTACCCGGTACTTCCTGAGGTTTTTACACACAAATGACTTTGAACGGTTGCACCCTATCAATAAAATGCAGATAACTCTCAAAAGTGGCCAGGTTATCTGTATGAATTATCGTACGAAGTGAGTGATGCGTAAAGCATTGTATTATTGACCTATAGATTACATTAATGGAAGAACCCAATTTTTAATAAATATTCCACATAGATTGCTTTGAAAATGCTCTAGATAGTTTAGAGTTAATCGACTGATTAACAGGAATCATTTTTCCTATTAAATAATTGGGAAGTTACCCAGTGGGTGTAAATAAAGAACATTAAGGTTCGTAAACCTCTGCTCTAACATAAAATGTTGCTTTATGAATCATGGAGATAACGAACAGTATTCAAGCTCAAAGTCCATTTAAACAATACAAATCGGGAGCAGAGCAAACACGAACCTCCAAAAGCAGAGGTGGGATCAGGTGCCATGAAGGAATGAGTATCCCCTACCAACCGGTCACACCGCCGTATGCTCCTTGTAATGATCGCTAAATAACTGAAAAATCCGTCGACAATTCAGTGTGTAAATAATGGCCTAACATAAACGTCAGTGAGCATATGACTTAATGATAGATTGTAATTGCTGACAAGGTCATAGTATAGACCACAGAACTTACGAAATGATGACTTTAAACGAGACTGTTGATATACTTGTTTCATCAACTTGTTTGTCAATAACTTATCTCCTTTAAGAATTTGTTCATACGTAGAGCATGCTCTTGCGTATCGAATCAACTGAGAGACATATATCCCATATGCAGGTGATAAGGGTATATTGCTGCATAAGTGAGGGAAATTGACGATTGAAAAGTTGAAGTCATCATGTTTATCATAAAGCTTTGTTGTTAAATTACCATTAACGTCTTTTTCTAGTAAAATATCCAAATATGAAACAGATGTGTCAGACTCTGTGGTATCTTTTATTTCAAGCTCACTGTGGTATATCGTGTCCACATATGAATGGAAATAACAATTGTTAATTGATAATGCGTCGTCGATACATCTAAATGTCAAGTTGAAGGCCACAGCAAGATTTCTTTTCCGCATGTTTAAGATTTTGAATAAATTCTGCTTCATATGAATACAAAAATAGGTCTGTTAATAAGGGGGCGCAATTGGTACCCATGGGAATTCCAACAGATTGTTGGAATACCTGGTCTCCAAAAACCACATAGATATTGTCAATCAGAAACTCAAGCGTTTTTTTTAATATCAACTTCAGTACTTGTGTGCACAATCAGAATGTTTTTTTTAACAAAATAATTTTGCAAGTGACCAATGAAAAGGTAAGTAAATTAACGAGTTCCATTTTTATTGAAAAAGCAGCTGTCAATGACTTTAATTTATTGTGGGGAATGATTGTATACAGAGTTGCAAAGTCGTAAGTTTTTATGTTATTGATTTTAGTAAAATTTTGTGATTTCAAATTTTCCAAAAGGTCTTTTGAATGTTTAAGTATCCACATCTGATTTACACCACTTCTCGAATATATTGTTGCACAGTACTCTTGAAGTTTCTCCTTCACTACTGTTAATATCTCAGGGAGGAGTAAAGAAGGAGACTTTGTAGAACATTTACTGGAACCCGCTATATATCTTTGTTTGTAAGGACTTTTATGAAGCTTAGGAATCCAAATTTAAATATGTTAATTCAAATTCATTTTGGTTGTTGGGAATATAAAAATATTCAAATATGACATATGATTTTGAAGAATTTCCTCCTTAGAAGGAGAGCTACGGGTATAAGTTGGATTACCACTTGTAGAATTAAATCCCAGTTCTTCTAAAATATAATTGAAATAATGAGCCTTACAAACAAAGACAATATTGTTGCCTGCTTTGTCAGTTGGGACCAGTACATACTGATCTTGTAGTCTATCTAATTCTTTTTTCACTTCTGAATTATTGTTCACAGAAGGATAGATGGTTTTCATATTGCCCCTAAATCGCTTAATGATTGATTTATCAATCTTGTCTTATTGAATCTTTTTTCCTGGCATGTACTATATGTTGAAAAGGAGATAAATAAGTTATAGTTTTATCATGCCCTATGCAGCATAATTTTCTGTCTAAAAACCATTTTTATTAATATATAGAGGACTTTTAAAAGTTTTCAAGACATTTGATCATTCAAAGTTCCCGGATAGGTGGGGGTGGGTGGGGGATTTATATTCCATTTAAAAATGCATACAACTGTATGTGTGTGCACATGCTTGTGCGCGCAAAATGACCTTTGTTCCGCAAATCTGCGTATACACAACATGCCTCTTAACCCTCAAAAGGATTCACGGCAATCGGATAAGTAGTTTTCGAGAACGCTCACGGACAAAAAAAGTACCAGGGCGAAGAATGATAATGTTAAAACAAAATGTTACCAAACTGGGGAAAATAATAAGCACCATGTGCAATTTAGAGTATGGTAAAATAATTAATACTATTGTACAAAATACGGGAATAAAGGTTGCCAAACGCCAGCCGCGGATCTAGAAGTTTTCTAAAGAGGGGGTAGTTGGGGCAAATATGGCAGAAAAACAGGGAATTGGAGATGAGTATCGTAAGGGCGATGTCAATGGGGGATAACTCGGTTGAATTTGGAAAGCCCCCCCCCCCCCATACTGATAAAAGTTATTTTCATATGTACATGTATATTAAATAACAAATTTACAACTACACTTCCAATGATAAAATTTCTACCGAGATTAAACTGGAATCAATTTAGTGCAACATCTGTACACAGGAAACAATTTTTCTTTACATTGTACTAGATATTTTAAAAAGTTTTATAAAATAAAATGTATAGAAATACAACTTCCTTTATTATATATAAAAACCGTTATATTTAACAAAAAATTCATAACAATATGAAAATACAGAAACATTTATTATTTCAAAAATTTTACTTTTTGTATGAAAAAAGACATAGGTATTCCTCACCCATTCTTGCTATGTATTCAAGTGATATGTAGGCCTATGCTTATATTAACATTAGAAATAAGACAACTTTTGCAAAATTTGAAAATAATAATAATGTTCCTAAAATCCGCAATTTATACAGAGTATATCATATTTATGTTGAAAGGGTAAATAAAACTGTATACCTGATAAATAAAACATCACAATTCAAACCCTTAAGTCTTCAAGATAATTGACAGAAAACTCGGATTCCTCAAAATAAACAGTTGTTCAGTGTTCTGAAACAACACAATAAGCAAGGCGGGGTATCTTCTATCTATCCACTCTCTTCATACAAGGTTTTGGCGAATTGACTTGAAAACTGTCCGTTTTATTTGAGATTGAGTGATATGGATAAACAGGGGCGAAAGTGATGTCGTACGAAATCTTGTCACATTCTGGATCATCTTCCACGCTTACCTTTCCTAGTACACTTTCCGTATACTTCACGCAAACTGTAAAAATTAAAATAATGTCAATGAATTAATGCTGAATGTATATTTTATACTTGATTAAAATCCCTTCCACAATCATGTCACTGTTCACATGCTATCAATGCATTCGCAAAAAAAAAAAAAAAAAAAAAAAAAAAAAAAAAAAAAATGAAAAATTGAAAAATTAACATGAAATATAAGACACTTAAACCCTAAATGGTTTTAATTAAAGCATGCTTGTAAACTCTAATATTCAACAAAAAAAAAAAAAAAAATAAAATAAAATAAAAAAATAAAAATAATCGATCTATTGAAATATTCTTTAAAACTATACTTATATCGAGAATTGTTTATTTGATAAACATTTTATGCCCGTCCGTACAATTGCGAGTGAGAATTCAATTGGCAAACAATTGACCACATCACCCGTCCAATTTAACTGCATTTCACAATTGTCCATTTTCTGGAACCAAAAATTACCGGGGTCAGCTTTTGTTATATCTGGTCTACCAGGGCTCTGTGTGCACTGACGCAAAATGCGTGCAAAATTTCGTTTGCTCGTGGGCTGATTGATAAAACAAACAATAAAGGTGACAAAGAAAAGAAATGTCCATATCTAAAAAAATATTTTCTTCACTTTTAAAAATTTCTTTTTGTCTCTTCAGAAAAAATAATTGTTGAAAGATGTTTATAGTTCCGGAATTTGACGATGAATAGGCATGTCAGTTTAAAATAGTCGCCATTTTGGCGACTTATGGAGAAATTTTAGGTGCCAATCAAAACTTTTAGGCTCCATGGCGACTAAATCAGTCGCCGATCAGAGCCCTGTGATGGATGGAAGGTAAAAATGTTACATTGGAGATTTGTAAAATAAAATCTCCGCAAATCAAACAAGAAGAAGGGCTTTTGTGGGTTACCCGAGTATCAACAGTTCTTTTAACATTCCAAGTAAGCTCCATCTGGAACTCTAGAATCATGTGGCATGAATTTTACCATTTGCTTAGAGCGCATCTATGTTCTCTATCATATTCGTAAAAGCTTGTTAATGAGTGAATAATTTTTCAAAAACAAATTACGTGTATTTACTTTTTTTTTTTTATTTTTTAAATTAATCACTCTAGAACAAGCTTTTACTGTGTTTGTATGGTGTAAATAGAAAATATTGAGGTATTTATCTTAACAATGACAAACTGTTGTCTAAAACCATCTTTAACCAGAAAAGGCAGTTTCACTCTTTTTTTTAAATATCTATGTGTTTTGAGCAGGTATGATGATTGCTTTATAATAAACTTGCACCTGTAGAAATAAAATACCGGGTATGTTGGCCTGCCTTGAATTGAAAAGGCACATTTATTAATAGAAGATCGGAAGGTCGTGGGTACAAATCCTGGCCGCCACTGACCTAAATCGATAAAAAAAAAATAGGTAGCAACTGTTCCTTCGCCAAGCGCTGATTTTCGCTTCTAGTACCGGGTACTTTGGGAAGGTGCAGTTTCTACCTATAATAAAACGTCCCAGGTTTGACGTGCAGCGCCGGGAACGAGCACCAAAACCTCCAAATCACAAAGCGAGCGCCCTACTACGAGACTCCCGCCACCAGTTTAATCTATAGTTAATTATTAATTGGATTAATCTTGAAAATGATTTTAAAAAAAACCAAACATATATTAAAAAGTAAAAAAAATAAATAAATAAAAAAGATTGTAAGGTAATATATCAAACTATATCACTACTTACTTAATTTTTTGTTGTCGTTGGTTTGGATGACTGGAGAGTTTAAGGAAACTCCTGATCCACTGTACGAAAAGTTACTGACTGAATTCTTTAAAGGCTTCGTTCCTATAACAATTTCCATTTTAACTGGCAGAGTGAACGCTGGTCCAGAGGGATGAATCTTTAACTGAAAAAAACCCACACCGACATGAAGATTCAATTACAAAATGTTCTCTTGTTTATCATTAGAATCCATTATCATTGACTTAAAGCAATTCCATAGAAATATTTGAAACAAAATGAATTTCTTTTGTGAAAGGGGAAAATATTTAAATGTACAAAGAACAAGATTTAACAAATAAAAACCAAGTTTAAATCTACATAGCTATGAAAACCATGGGGGGCATACATAAACAGGTAGCAAGAGACTAATCCCAGATATTCGTTAAATAATCTTCATTCTAACGGAGATGTCATCAGGCAGAAGTATGCGAACATTAATCACCTCGAGTACATATGAGATGTCGATGATGTCACATCCGTGAAGATAAGATGGCGGAACAGAAGGTATGACAAGTCGCTCCCCTGTCCACACACCTGTTTTCCCAGCATTCCATTTGTCCTTACACACAGATGCCACTTGATTAGTGTGAGTTTTCGATTTTTTGGACGTGTTGTAACGGACAACCTGATTGATAAAAAGAAAAAAAATCTTCATTAATAATTACTTTATAAAGTGGAGGAGGTTGCATATAAAACATCATATTGCTAACAAATTGAAATGTAATCCCTCTCTGTGAAAAGATTTTCCTTTTCACACAGGATTCAGTATTTAAATTCAGTGGGTTTTTTTTCATTTTCATAGACTATTCCAGTTTAACTCAAAATAACAAAAACGAACAAGTTGTACATAAGTCTAAAATACATTGAAACCCAACCTAAATTGTATGACAAACGATGAAACCCACCTAAATTGTATGACAAAAGATTTGACTAAAACCTTTCCATCTTAAACTTATTTATGTAGTACTAACCCGCTATCACCTGGATAGGGTGTTCACATCTCCCGACTTATTCGATATTCAAGAACATGCTCCGAGTTTAAACAAAATTTAAATCGAGGCAGGCTAAAAGTCAGCACTTCGTAAGTTTATGGTCGTTATAATTGCTTTGTAAGCAAAAAACCTATCATTGGGTTGTATTTTGGCTGACTTGTTTCATACCAGATGTTAAGCCTTTGTTTTTATATCAAATTTGACTACGGAATGTTTCGTCTACCTGATGAATACATAGGGCTAACGCGGGTGTGACCTGTCAACAGGGGATACTTACTCTTCCTTGGCACCTGATCCCACCTCTAGAATTTCCAGGGGTCCGTGTTTTATGCCCACTTCACAGAATTGTATTGTTTATAGATTTTTTTTTTTAATAGATCTTTCACTGTTCGTTATCTTCACCTTTTTCATTCATGCACAGTATATTTTTTTCACACTAGATATCTGTTGAAATCCAGTTTCATTGCCTCACAATCGATATCTATCATGAAAGTGCATTACTAGATTTATTTATAGTGTAATTTATTGGTTTTATTAATTCACAACCCCTTAGTTTTAAGACAATTTAAGTGGGCTTACTCGACTCCAATTCATCCCCTTTTCATAAAAAGAATTACTCCTTTTGTAATTTAGACATCCTCGACATACTCAATATTGTTTTCATTATCTTTCATTCACATTGCTTAAAGATATGATTGGGGGGGGGGGGGATTCCCATTCGTTTGTTAATTCGGAACAAAGCATGCCTTTCCCTCTACACTAGTCCAAGTCATCGAGTTAAATTAGATACATTAAAAGTTAACTGAACATTACCAAAGTAATTTTTTTTAAAAAGAATATACCATCAGTAACGTTACACTAGCTGCGGAAACTTTCCTGCCACTTTTGTTTTCAATCTCCACGTGGATGGGAATTCCTTCCCCAGGAACGAATCCAATTGTCTCTAAATAAAGTGTGGCACAAATTGGTCCGGACTTACAACACAGGCAGCAAAGAGTCATCTCGTTACTTGCATCTGTCGATTGCTGTCACAAAGAAAATCAAATAAATTCATGTTTCATAGATTTAGAAATAAGAAACTAAATAAATATTCATAAGTAATCTCTTCTAAGATAATAAAATAGGCTATTGCTGTAAGTAAAAGAAAATTTAATCCTACTTTCTTTTAAAAATATAAATATGATTACTGTATTGAATTGGAAGATGCTTTTCTAATGATTTAAACTATGACTATTAAAAACTACAGTTGTATCCCTCTGGTGCATTGACTCCATGAGGAATGGGTTCATGACAGAAGCTTATATTTATGATGGGAGTCCGTTAATAATTTAAAGAGGAAGGGGCATTTTCTGTCAGGATACTTCATATAAGCAACAAATTCTCAGAGGACTTGGTAGAGTCAATAAAATGTTGCAAACACATTAATTATCAAACTGTAATAATGCAAGAAAATGTAACGTGAAACAAGTATCCTGTAATTTCAAAAAGCAAGTTTTGAAATATGCATATTTATACGCTTCGTAACATGAATAATGTATACGTACTTTTAAGAGTTTTACTAAAAGCGAAGCATCATATCCCATCTCTAGATTATCATATATATAAAGGATGTGAAAAGTCATGAAAGTTACACCTGGGCAGTTTATACAACATTGAAATTTACTAGTGACGTCAGTTTTCAATGCAAGAGCCTGCCACTGTCAATATTTGTGATATTTCTGATTCTTCTTAATGAAGCAGTCACAAAAGGAAATTTTTAAAGTGCAAATTTGTTTTTGTAGACACAAGGTCGTTTCTCCATCTTTTGTTTTGCTGTAATAATATTATCGGTGAAAATAATCACATTCCCACACGTCTTACATAATTTAGATTCGTTTCGTACATATGGCCCAGTTTCAAATTAAGAGGAAACAGCTTTAAATTTGTTATTTTTTTTTGCAAGAAATAATATTTGAATGAAAAAGGCGTAAATAACGAACATTGATCGATCTCAAAAAGAAAAAAAAACTACATTGAATACAAATCTGTAAGCAGGGCATAAATAATGGAACCCCAGAAATTCCATATGTGAGATCAGGTGTCTCGCAGGAGTAAACATTCCCTAAACTAACATACATATTTGAAATTGATTTTCACTCTTTCCCATCTCTCAAAAATATACATGTCCTCTGAATATGAAAAATATGAATTAAGCAAAGATAAATTTTTATGTTCTTGAGCGCCCATATTTAACAAACGCATACCTTACAAGTGCTCAGAAAATGCTCAGAATCTTAGCATTTACACAGAACGTTACTCTCACGATACATGTAATAAACATCTATACACTTTACAGTTGTGGCTATTATGCATATAAATCACGAGGAAGTCTTCTGAATGATATGATATTCAGACTAATAACTCAGCTACATCTGACTACTTATACAAGAAGCTAATATTGTACTTATAAATTTGCTATCACTGAATATCATTTCCTTATTTCTTATAAAAATGATGGTCGTTTATCAATAACACCGCTAAGCAAGCCATCTAGATTTCTAGGAAAGTGGCTCTTCCATCAAAATAAAACAAACAATGACGTACTTATCAATAATACAATATTTAATATACTTTATCCTTTGAATGATAATTTATAAAGACATAAATATAAACAATAAAATGTTATTGCAGATATTACAGAAAAAAATTACAAAACCCGATTACTTGGCCCTGGATTATGTATTTTTTCTGCAACAGCTGCAAAATTAATTCCCATTCTAACCAAAAAAACAAACAAACAAACAAACAAACCAAAAAAAAAAAAAAACAAAAAACAAAAAAAAAAAAAAAAAAAAAAAACAAAAAACCAACAACAACAACATCAACATTTTATTGTTATAAGTTATATGTAATGCGAAGGTCATTAAAAAAAATTCGTGGACTTTTGTCATTATTTTTTTTTTACATTCACATTTCCAAATATTTTTCCTTAAGATTCTTTGCAAATTAGAAAAAAAAATCATATTCTCATGAACTACCGTGGGATGAGTAAGAATACTTCCACTGTGATGTGACTGAAGTCAAAACATAATGCTTTTTTCTGTTAAATAACAAAAATATGTGGCAAGTCATCAGAAAAATAATGAAAATATAAGAGATGAATTTAATTTTTGAGAATTCACGAAGTACATGAACTACAACGCTTCACGCCTGCATATTTATCATGAAGCGCTAACGCGCTTCATGAAATATGCCGGCGTGAAGCGTCGTAGTTCATGTCCTCATGAATTCTCAAAAATTAAATTCATCTCTTAAATTCAACGTCATATCGTAACCAAATTTGTATACATATTTTAACAATAAATCTAAATAATTTAAACTTTAAAAATGAAATACATATAATATATATTTTGATAAACTTCGAAGCTATTTGAAAATTAAAAAATGTGATCATGGAGCATGTCAAAATTTAGTTACATACTAACAATACTCAGTATAATGTCTATTGTCATATCCCTGTAACATAGTGCTAAAATAAAATAAAATATAAAGGTTAAATTGGGTATATATAGTAGCATCATTTCACTTCCCAAATTGGAATATGTAAAATATATATACATAGCAGCGAGGGGCAATGCAATTTTAAGATGCACTTACAAAACTACGAAATAAACTCTGAAAATTCTGGCGAGAACAGGAAATATATCAAAAGTGAGCCATGTATTTATATTCAAATGGTGGATGTAGAGAGTCCGTATCGGACAATTGACGAACTGAGAAAGAACGGATTATTTGTGAAAATCTGGTAAAAAAAAAGAGTAACATCATAAAATGTGAAGGATGTTTCACTATTGTGGAACGTATGAAAGTTATGGGGTTATAAAAATGAAAACACTGAGGAACTAATTAATTATGAGCAAACTAGGTGTCAAGAGGTACAATGAAAAAGGTCATGAAGGTGGAGATAGCGAAAAATGATCGATCTAAAAAAACAAACAAACAATACAAATCTGTGAACAGGGCTTAAAACATGCCCCCCCCCCAAAAAAAAAAAAATTTTATGTTGGATCAGGTGCCTGGGAATAGTAAGCATCCCCTGTCGACCGGTTACACCCAACGTAAGCTTATGCATTGATCAGATTGACGAAATATTCCGTAGTCAAATTTAGCATATTTACATTTCACATGCATTTTGTTATATTGATTGATGGTATGTTGTTTCACGTCCCATTCGAGATTTTTTTTCAGTCATATAGAGACGTCATCATATACCAGTGAAGGGCTTCAAATTTAGACTTATCCTCGGCACTAAGGGCCATTGAGCAGTGAGGGTTCTTTATCTTGCCGCCTACCGTGACACAGACCTCGGTTTTTAAGGTCTCATCCGAAAGACCCGTGACTTTCACTTCTAGTGCCGGGCTCTTGTCGAAGGAACAGTCACCACCTATGTTTACATCTTAGGTTTGATGTGGCGCGGCGAACAAGAATCGAACGCCGGCCTCCCGATCACGAAGCGAATGCCCTACCACTAGGCAACCGTGACCGGTTTGTATTTTGTTATAAAGTGTGTGGAAAGTTATGGCATTCAAAACACCATAACACGGACAGAGAGGTCAAAAGGTTAAAGTTTGAGTTTTATTTTGACGTCACTAACTTTGAACGCCATGCAAGTGCAACTTCATAAGCAAAAATCTTAATTAATGCTCACATTGAACAGAAGCTGTTGCAATGGCTCTTCCATTAATTGTTTACTTGAACGAAGGATAACACAGGGATTTTGAAAAATAAATCACATTTGCAGACAAGGCAAGTAGTTTAAAGATGTAAAAGAAGTAAAAGTTAAAAGATGTAAATATTGCGCGTTACTCAATTGGTTTGCACACACCGTTGCAGTTATGAGACTACATCTTGCAAGAATAATAATAATATGATGCTTAAATATAAAAAAGGCCTAACAATTGGTATGAAATATATCAGTCAAAATACGACCAAGTGACAGGTTGTGTTTGCTAACAAGGTCATTATAATGACCATAGAATTTACAAAATAATGACTTTAAAAGAGGTTGCTGACATATCTGTGACATCAGTTTATTTGTCAGTAGCCTGTCTCGGTTTAAAAATACTCCGAGCATGCTCTTGAGTATCGAATAAGTAGGGAGACATAAACACCATATGACAACTATATGCCGGTGATAGCGGAATATTACAACATAAATAAGGAAAAACTAATGATGGAAAAACTGTAGTCATTCAGTTTTTCATATAATTTAGTTGTTAGTCGGCCTTTATAGTCTATAGTCAGTAAAACATCTAAATATGAAACAGATGTGGCAGACTCTGCGGGGTTTTTTATTTCGAGTTCACTGGGATATATCGAGTGGACATATGAATGGAAGCAACTGTTGTTAATTGATAAAACGTCGTCGATATATCTGAATGTCAAGTTGAAGACCACAACAAGTGATTTCTTCTTCTCATGAAGAAGTTTTTAAATGAATGTTCTATATTCATTTTCATTGATTGGGTAATGTGCCAAAGATAGAGGGGGAGTATTTTGAGAAACGATATTGACGTCAAGACTTCTCCGTGGTGACAAAACATATTAAATTCAAATTGTTAAGTATCGTGGGTTTCATTTGACCAAATGAAATGAAATTGCACACATCAGCAAAATAAATGCTTATATATTATGATAAAGTGTTGATCTTGAATTTCTGAAAATAAAAACAAAACATATTTTTTTAATGACCCTCGTATGATACGACCCACATAAAAGTCACCGTGTATAACTTAACTGCACCTGTAATCGTAAGTCGTTGTTCAAGTCAAGGTGATTGATGACGGTGAAAAGTTTCATGGTAGTGTGCTCTATTTCATACAGTTTCCTGATTCTGGCAGACACGTAATAACGTATACGACCAATGGACCCCTCATAGGAAGTAGGACAATCCGCGGGAAGATGGAACTCAAATGGAAGGGAGTGGAACCCAGCGGGGAGGGTCTGCACATGGTTGCCGCTGTTGCCTACATCAGATGGTAAAAAATTAAGTTTTTTTTTATCATAACCATTGATTATCAAAATTTTTCTATGAAACAAAAAAGTTAGTTTCAGAATAAAAAAGGCAGCAACAATATGTCACATCATGGAGATGTGAATACAATACAAATGCTTTATGTTTAGGAATCATATTTTACTATTTGAATATAAATGCCAGTTATCAAAGAATGCGGAGTTAAGATATAAATAAGGCCTATTAAACACGTAGATAAGGCTTCACACTATTGGGATTCTTCACCATAAACATGAACGGTGTGGTCAAAATATATTTCTTCACTAGAGAAGTGCTTGGCCACAGCTTTTTTGTTCTTTCCATGACCACTGGAATGTTTTTCCACCCAACCAACATTAGCGTAACCATGGAAGCGTAGTAATATGTCTACAATAATAACAAAAATATCGTTAATTTCTAAACTTATGGATTTACCAGAGAACAGCTATGTATACAGAGAAAGGATATGATATACAATATATAGTATTTACAATAATAAGCGCACAGAAATGCATAGAATATTATACATTATGTACACACATACACTTAACGAGACTATTATATAATCTGTTTCAAAAAAGGCCTGAGAAAAAGACGAAAATACACCAAAACTGATGCATTAAGATGGAAGAGCTATAATAGAGACATTTTAAGCAGATATTTATAAAGCATTCCTCCTACCGGATTACAGGGTCTGAGTTAAACGCCAATTACAGATTTCCTTAACGGGGAAACGAATTTAGAGGAGTAATTAATTGAAGGCAATGCTTATGTACAGTAAATATTTATCATATCTGTTAGTTCAAATGAAATAATGAGGTTATCGATGATATTTGTTTTTCATGTCGCTATCGTAATTGCATGACAGAACAATACAGTTTAAATCCAGGCAATTTATCCACGCTTTCGAATGCGTTCAAAATACTATACACAAAACGAGTCATTACAAACCTCCTCATAATCGGATTTATGTAGTGAATGCGTTATAAATCCATTTATCACAGCGCCCCACGTGGAAGGATGCGCGCGCAATATATGCGCAAGCATTTGTACATTCCATTCTCACACCATTTCCAAATGTTGCACGTTTAGGGTTTGCTGTGAATTTTTAAGAAAATTTAGAATATTGCACAATTACATTGTCAAAAGACTGTGGTGTACAAAGACAATGACATTGTCAAAAGACTGTGGCGTACAAAGACGAGGTTTTTCTGATTGTTTGCACTAATTGTACCGTTAGTGTACTTCAACATGCTAGAGTTTTTGACTTCGCGCCGAAAGGGCTGTAAGGAGGGTATGGACGTTAGCCGAGGCTCTTACTTGTAGGAGTATCGTTGCTGTAAATATTGACAAAGATGTCCACAACATCTATAGTCGCCAAAGCCAAACAAGGCATTACAAAATGGAGAGAGAGAATAACGTCAATACCAGCAATGAGGAGGACATGCATAATACTACTACTACACACAGCACAAACGGTATGTCATCTTGTATGCCTACATCAATTATTAGTATAATGTTTTCACTGTTGTATCAATTACATTTAAAAAAAAAAAAAAAAAAAAAAAAAAAAAAAAATGCACAAGAAAATATTAAATGTTCAGTTAATCGATCATTCTGTTAAAATCAGTGGGAAAAGGCAAAGAATAAGCTAATCATTACAATTGGTTTTAGTGTATTTAGTAGAATCTAAATTTAAGCACACCCTCTTCAACCACAGAGTTTAGAGCAATATAAATATAATTATGCACACGTTAAGACTGGGTTCCATAAAACTCCCATTGACTTGAATTAATTTAACCTCATACTCTTAAGATCACGCACTCGGCATCGTCGGTCATTGTTCCGATGTTGTAAGCGCCCGAGTATATACTTCATGGAGCCTTAAGGCTATAATAATAAGACTAATTTATTTATTTACCAATCAATAAGCTTTGAAAGGGGGGCATATATATATATATATAATTTATAAAAACAATACAATTACGTTTATAGCAAGTAATGGCTGCATTATGTGCAATATTAACCTGATCCTCACTTGCAATATTTAACTGTCCTCGCTAGCATCCCTCATACAATTGAAAGACTAGTGTTTCGATGCCAAATATCGTTACTTATTGTGTATATATGTGCACATTGTTATAAAATATGTATTTTAAGCTTGTTCTCCCTTCGATTAACATCTTCGTGTCCGTCCTCAACAAATCAGCAACCCCGGCCTGGGGAACAATTTTTGAAAGAGAAAACCTTAAATTCCGTTACTCCTAGGCATTCAATTAATAAACATCGGTCATTCTTAAGTAAATATTAAACTACTTCCAATATTTATGCATGTCATGTTCCACCAAAGCAAGAATTAGGCGATGAGTTGAGAAATGGTTTTAATTTAATTTAGGGCGCATGGAGTGAAGAGCAAATTAATTAATTAATTAATTGAAATTAATTTCAGTAGATCTGTATCAAGACAAATTCAGTATATGTTGCTGAGTGAAATAGCTATGGGCGAATGGCTGTTCCTTTTTCCTTAACACCTCTATCAAAACTAGGCCCATAAATCATGGAGGGGGATCAATATCCACATAACAATAAACCAAAAATTCTATAGATTGAGGGCCATAATCGGTATGATAGCACCATTGACAAGATCTTTACCTGGCAAAATGGATACAAAAAATCGTTTTTAGGCTATTGTCTAGAAAACCAGATGATTTTTTGCGTACTTGGCTTCGAATAACTACTATGTCAAACGCCTTCCATTTGTTGTTACACATCGTCACAAATAAATAAATAAATGAAGTGATTAATAAATTAATTAAACACAAATGAAATATTATCTTTTTTTTTCACTCGTCAGGTCACAACCTGGTTCGAAATAGGAAACGCATTTATTTATCTTGATGTCTTTCTGTTTTGCAAGTTCAGCTCACGCCAACATTTGCTCAAAATTGATGACACGTTTGGCGATTTTGGTCAGCATTGGGAATTCTTCAATGCGTTGAACATTTGTTCCCGTCACAAAAATTAATTCATCTGGGTTTGGAAATTGATACATGTCAAGTTTGTATTCTGACGAAAAGCTAATTAAACCTAAGATTTTGCTGATAGGAAGGGCCAATAAATCTTAAAAGTCACTTCAAATGAAATGCAATTCTTTCAGTGCCGTCTTACCGCTCTGTTACCAGCGTTCCCACGATGCAATGATTGGCATAAAAAAATGCAGCAACTTTTCTTTTGTATAAAGACCATTTGTTTTTATGTCATTTAAATTTTGAATCACTTTATATTTATTTCTTTACGATATGGCTGATTAAGCAGTAATATTCTTAAGCGCAGACGGAAGGCATACTGGCTGCGGGAAAGCCAGCATATGGTTATACACCTATAATTGTAGTAAAGTTATTTTGGTTACGATTAGATCACACAACTTTATAAACAGACGTCAAAATATGTAAGATCTATACAGTTTGATTTGATGTTTAGTATATTTATAAATGACTTATACACGTTTTTAGATTTTACCTTATTAAATTGAGATCTCCATCTTAGAATTACTTGATCACACTTCACATGTTATCATCACGGAAGTACTATTTCATTTATCAATATTACTTACATATACAGTGTCAAATTTTACAATATACAAATACATGTATAGATTATTTAGTATGTATACACATAAATTTTTTGTACTGTTTGTAATTGTAGAAATCATGCTTGTTGTGATGCCTGAAAGGGCCCTGATTTGGAAATAAAGAATCTTATCTACCATACTATCATCATCAATAAATAAATAAATAAATAGTGTATTCCATCTCATGTTCTCATTAATGTTAATACATGTATGTATCCAACAGTAGATAATTAACTATCTTTAGTAAGAAAACCTTTTTTATACTAAGCACTTTAAGTTTAAACTCGGCACTGCATAAGTACAACCTCGTTATATAAAACGAGTACTTTCATCACGTAGGCGTTAAACTGCAGGGGGGGGGGGGGGGGGGCAGTAGGGTAATGAGACACAGTTACTCTCTGTATTGTTAATTATTAGTCATGCACCATTGTTTACGGATTAGAGCAAACATTCCTGGTAATTTATTATTTATATTAACCTTAAACTAGATGTGTTGCGTCTCAATATAATGAATCAATTCAATTATTTGGAAGAGAACAATTTAAATGTTATCATTCATAGATTATAAACCCTACAGGTCAATAGAATAAGAAAGACATTTGAACTTTTTCTCTAGATATTTGGTTCATCTGTTCATTTTAATCACAGGCTTCTATAGCAGTAAATTTTAGTATGTTGTAACAAAGCAAGAGAGGAATGTGCTAGAATGGAGTTCCTAATCCGATATTCTATTGCGGGGCAAATGACCTTGGCTGTGTAAAGATATGCATTGATAAAACTGCCGAATCCTTAAATAAGTTCAGTAAAGTTAACTATAGGGTCGTTTCCAGATGTGATGGGAAGTTCGATCAGGAAAAAGATCGCAAAAGTAATTAACTCAGTTACCAAGCATAATTAATCTAGTTACAACAGAGGATATTTTATATATACAATTCGTCTGGCAGTAAGCTAAAATTTTTAAAAGCGGGCTTAAAAACATAGTGAACTGCCAACTTGATTTAATATTATCATTTATAGTAGTAGTAGTATCATTGATATATATTGTGGGGGTCACGGCTGGTTTTGTGAGTAGAGTGTTAAGCTACCCCCACGTTTGTGGCGGCGTGCATATTACATGAGTAACTATGCACGTTTGGCGGATTTAGCTTAACACACTTCATCTCGACTAGCGCCGCTGTGAACAGGGCGCAGCTGCAACATAATTATTTTGACAACTGGTCAATGGAAAACAATTGACAGAACATTGATTAATTGAAATATTGTTTGGCTTAAACATAAACTTACTACAATTCATTGAATTGAGTGAGTATTGATTGATTGAACATTGATTGATTGAACATTGATTGATTGAATATTGAAACATTGATTGATTGAACATTGATTGATTGAATATTGATTGATTGATTGAATATTGATTGATATTATTGAAAATGGATTGATTCATTGGACTGAAACTTTTTGATTGATTCAACTGAATATTCATTAATTGATTGGATATTCATTAATTGAATTGATAAATTTATTGATTGATTGATTGATTGAACTTGATATTGATTGATTCAATTGAATATTGATTGATTGATTGAATATTGTTTTATAAGGCTGGCGCACCGCAAAATTTGAAAAGCAAACGCCAGTCTTATAGTGTAAAAAATGACATGTGTACAGTTAATATTGATTGATTGATTGATTGTTTGCTTTGATTGGAGGTGTGCCAAAAACCAATTGGGTCGGCACCCACTGAACACATGTATCTTAAATAATTGATCTGCAACCAGCCGTGGCCATATGATGCCAAACTTAATAAATAAATAATTAAGAAATGGTGTCACTTGTTTTTTAGTGGTAGTCTGTGATAATCGGATTTATGTAGTGAATGCGTTATAAATCCATTTATCACAGCGCCCCACGTGGAAGGATGCGCGCGCAATATATGCGCAAGCATTTGTACATTCCATTCTCACACCATTTCCAAATGTTGCACGTTTAGGGTTTGCTGTGAATTTTTAAGAAAATTACCCGCCCTTCCACACCCCATATTACTTTGAGTTGTTTTCTGCGCCGAGTTCTTTTCATTTCAGAGAAAGAGGCCTAAGGAGCCAAGCTGTCAATCATTCTAAGACCTTGCCTTAGTCATGACCGGCCAAAGCTGCCATTCCTTGCCATACAGTGATGAATGCTATCGTGATGGACACTTCCAAGTACCAGAAGGAAGGACTTCGCTCACCCAATCGTATTGGCTTATTGACTCTAAACAGGGTGAAGCTGCAACACGATAACTATCGATCAAGGACTAGATAACACCCATCGTCACGGCTGGTCATCTTATTATGCGGACAGTATTGTCTCTGTAATTAACAGAGGGAAGAGCCAGTTGGAGAGATACATCGAATAGCGCTTAACACAAATCATCTTGACACGCGTCGCTGTTAACAGGGCGCAGCTGCAACTTGATTATGTGGATGACTTATCGATGGAAAACAATTAATTGACTTGATAATTAACACAGAATATTGATTAATTTATTGAAATATTGTTTGGCTTAAACATAAACTTACTACAATTCATTGAATTGAGTGAGTATTGATTGATTGAACATTGATTGATTGAACATTGATTGATTGAATATTGAAACATTGATTGATTGAACATTGATTGATTGAATATTGATTGATTGATTGAATATTGATTGATATTATTGAAAATGGATTGATTCATTGGACTGAAACTTTTTGATTGATTCAACTGAATATTCATTAATTGATTGGATATTCATTAATTGAATTGATAAATTTATTGATTGATTGATTGATTGAACTTGATATTGATTGATTCAATTGAATATTGATTGATTGATTGAATATTGTTTTATAAGGCTGGCGCACCGCAAAATTTGAAAAGCAAACGCCAGTCTTATAGTGTAAAAAATGACATGTGTACAGTTAATATTGATTGATTGATTGATTGTTTGCTTTGATTGGAGGTGTGCCAAAAACCAATTGGGTCGGCACCCACTGAACACATGTATCTTAAATAATTGATCTGCAACCAGCCGTGGCCATATGATGCCAAACTTAATAAATAAATAATTAAGAAATGGTGTCACTTGTTTTTTAGTGGTAGTCTGTGATAATCAAAACAATTTCATCAATCTTATGACGATCACTCTCGCCAAATAAATAATTCAACATTTTATGGTCTTTCTTACGTTGAAAATTCTCACCTTGAATTTTTAATTTCCCAGAAAGCTCCAGGACAACAGACCCACAAAGAGGGTTGCCGGAAACACAAACACCGTCAGGATTTTTGAATTCTATATCAAATCTATCTAGTTTTCCCATGTTAAAGGGGATGATTCTTAGAGGACGTCAACTTCCATATCTATTTCTTTTTTATTTTAAACGTCCATTGCCTGAAAATAGATTAAAAAAATAATTTGAATTCTAAAATACTAGTATATTTATTTCAAAAGAGATCAAGTACATTGTGAGTTACACAATCTGACCAAGTACTTTTTGTGATAATAATATGTAAAGCTTATTGTGATATGAATCAAATTAAAAGAGATTGGCTGATCTTTAGGCTAAATGCGTTTCATAAAGTTATTAAAGTACAATACAAAAGAAGCAAGAGACTAAGCCTTATGAATTTCTCAGACTATATTTAACTTGATTATTAAACGCAGCTCCCACCTGAAAATTTTGTATTCATGTAATATGAAATTTCAATTTGCTACAGAAACGCAGCCCCCACCTGAGAATTCTGTATTTATGTAATATGAAATTTCAATTTACTACAGAAAGGCAGCTCTCACCTGAGAATTCTGTATTCATGTAATATGAAATTTCAAATAGAGAACGCTGTTCGTGATTTCATTTATTTGTTGGACCTTCAAGGCCCCTGGACACCGAAAAAGCAATCTGTTTGCATCACTACACTCATCTTCGGAAAGCCAAGGTTTACCACCCTCTTCGCAAACCTCTGACAGATTTCACAACTAGATCAGGACATTTTTCTAGGCAATCAATTTACTTTACTATATCTAAATCTGTGACCAATTCTATGGAAATTTTTCTAGCCGATCAAAGTACACAACTATATCTCAATCTGTGACCAATTCTATGGACATTTATCTAGCCAATCAGGTAACAACATAGAACATTTTTCTAGCCAATCAGGTAACAACTTAGGACATTTTTCTAGCCAATCAGGTAACAACGTACGGTTCCGTACCCATTGCAAACAAGAAATGCAGGTGTACTAGAAAGTCGAGAAAGAAGGTTATAAAGGTACATTAATAACAGATTATTTTGTAAAAATAGAAATAAAGCGAGGACAGGATGTTTATTTGGGTACAACTAAGACAAAGATTTATATCGCTAATACAAAGCTCCCCTGGAGAAACACTTCGTATCAATGAAACACCACTGTCATTTGGCGTTATGTAATGTAAAAAACAACCATAAACATTCTTATATTAGCAATTTAATTTTCAGAGGTTTGTGATGAGCGTAGCAGGTGCTTTAAAGATTGACCTACCCCTCAGAAGCCTGAGACCGTGAAAATCATTTTTTTTTTACTTTATACATATGAAATATATGCAGATAACGAACAGTATTCAAGCTCAAATGTCCATTAAACAACACAAATTTTGGAGCAGAGCAAACACGGACCTCTAAAACATCAGAGGTGGGATCAGGTGCCATGGAGGAGTGAGCATCTCCTGCTGACCGGTCACACCCACCGTGTGCTCCTTGTCATGATCGGGAAATAACGGATAAATCCGTCGACAAATCAGTGTGTAAATAATGGCCTTACAATTAGTATGAAAAACATCAGTCTGCATATATATGATCATAGTTGATAATGATCAGTTGAAGAGATCGAAGAATAAAACATACTCAAGTAAAAATACTCAAGTGCCATTACCAATCACAGAATTACAATATTTATTTCAATATAATTGTAGGTACAATGGCGTGAGAAAGAAAATATAATTTACTGTAGACAATGGGATTTTATCATAAAATATAGTGTGGCGTGACTAAAAATTTCTCTGTATCAAGCATTCAGATCAATTTTGGTGATATCTAAAAGTTTCACCTTATTCGATTCTTTAGAAATTTTACGGAAAGCTGCAGCCATATAATACCTATACACTTTTCTAACAAACTCTTCGTTCTTTTCAAGCTAGAATCGAAAGGGATTACCAGAAGAAACAATTGAACTGCAGAGATACCGAGGAAATCCGATTTTTGTTCCTCTTATACATGTATATATGTATTAAGATTAGCATCACAAGAATTCTTTCAATACTTGATCCTTTAAAGAAACTTCTAAAAACTGAGACAATTTAAATATCAAGAAATATACATATATAAGCAAAGGTATGTCCATGGTTCATTCACTGTCATCGACGTAAAATAATTATACAACTCGTAAATATACTTACCTTGTCATTGTTCATGTACAAAATTATTTTGTTAAATAGCACTCTGATTGTACACACAAGTACTCTGAAGTTGATATTAAAAAGATGCTTGAGTATCTGATTGACAATATCTATGTAGTTTTTGGTGATCAGGTCTTCCAACAATCTGTTGGAATTCCCATGGGTACCAATTTCGCCCCCTTATTAGCAGACCTTTTTTTTGTATTCATATGAAGCATGAATTTATTCAAAAACGTCTACATGAGAAGAAGAAAACACGTGCTGTGGCCTTCAACTCGACATTTCGACGGTATTACCAGTATCAATTAATAATCAATTCATATGTCGACTCGATATATCCCAGTGAGCTTGAAATAAAAGATACCACAGATTCTGACACATCAGTTTCATATTCAGATATTTTATTAGAAAAAGACGTTAATGGTAACCTTACAACAAAGCTTTATAATAAACGTGATGACTTCAACTTTTCAATCGCCAACTTCCCTTACTTATGTAGCAATATACCCTTATCACCTGCATATGGGGTTTATGTCTCTCAGTTGATTCGATACGCAAGAGCATGCTCTACGTATGAACAATTTCTAAAACGAGGCAAGCTATTGACCAACAAGTTGATGAAACAAGGATATCAACAGTCTCGTTTGAAGTCATCTTTTCGCAAGTTGTTCGGTCAATACAGTGACCTTGTCAGCACATACAACCTATCATTGAGTCAAATGCTGACTGACGTTTTCCATACTAATTGTTAGGTCATTATTTATACACTGAACTGTCTACGGATTTTTCCGGTTTTTGTTTTCCGATCATGACAAGGAGCACACGGCGGGTGTGATGGTCGGCAGAAATGCTCACTCCTCCATGGCACCTGATCCCACCTCTAAATTTTGAGGTCCGTGTTTGCTCTGCTCCAAATTTGTATCGTTTCATTGAACTTTCGAGATTGAATACTGTTCGTTATCTTTACATTTCATCGAGCAAGAATTTCTCAGACAGTAGAAAACATCGAGGAACTTGACATTCTAGAAAAATCTTATACTTGGCATCCAAGAAAACAACTCAAAGTATAAGAATATCTTGTACAGCAATCTTGTTTTGTATGTGTTTTTTTCTAGATAAATAACACTCAATAACATACATGTATTAGTTTATCTGCAAAATGTTTTGTAGTAAGATGTATGCTGCACGGCATTAAGGATAAAGTACATTTTACTTGAGGTTCAATTGAAATAATCATACCGCCGAAATATGGCTGAAATATTGCCGACATGGCGTAAAACAACGACAATCAATCAATCGAAACAATTGTCAAACGGATGAAATATGCCCAAAAGATTCATTGACTAAATGTAACCATTGACTTTACGATAAACATTACCTTATAAAGTACTTAGAGAGGCTTCTTTCTCTTTTTAAAGAGAAAATTATACAAAGGTATTTTGAAACCTTTGTTATCTCCAATAATAAAAATTCCATCTAATTGTTTACAGTGTGCATTATATGATATAGAATCTGGTAAATGATGTGTCTCCTGCTACCTGTATATAAATATGGCAAGTTTTAAGACAAACATTCTCACTTGGCAGAAAAATGTCATATCTGTTAGGATAATAACTTATCACAGTATCCCGGATAGTTAACCGTCTCTTATCTGAAGGTTTATACTGTCTTGTTTTGAGTTGTTTTACATTGAAACAGAATCGACCGATAGTCACAGAGCAAATAGTAATAAACGAGTGAACTTTTAAAAATCGCTCCATTAATTTTCATAAATAGCCAGATGATTGTTTGAGGGTCAAATACCATCAGAAAAGACGAAACTATTTGCTGTACTATGGATTAAATTAATATAGTTAACAGAAATAGCTTGCAGCAGTGTTGTGGAGATCACAGCAAAGTAGAGACGTAAATAGGGACAATAGCAGTCATGTCAACCCTAATCAAAGTCATTTCACGCCTTTGCAATTATTTACTCTTTGAAATATATTTCATACCAGAAATTTATGATGAAACTGTATTTCTTCCAGTTTGAACTAATAATACTCTAAGGAAAGAAGTTGAACTTTCACTTCTTGCATTTCTTAATGAATGTTTCAGTGTGTTTTTTTTTAAATTAAAAAAAGTGAGAACGTTTTTTTTATCAGTAATTCGTTCGTAGCTTCATCATTAATCACAATTACAAAAATTATTTTTAGTATTTCAATCCATTTAAATGATATTTCTTTATGTAACAGCAGCAACATTCTTCAATGAAATCAAAATTCGATGCATAGGTATATACATCTCATATACAACAAATGTAGTCTACATTTGTTTTGGGTTCTTTTTCAAAGTTTAGATATGTAGGAAAAGAACGTTCTGAAATGACAGATTATAATTTTATGTAGTAAACATAACATCATTTATTGAAATTAAACATTTACTAAAATAATTAGATGTCTTAAAGTATCAAAAGAATAAAAACTATTATTCATAATTGTACCAAGTTTTATTTAAACAAAAGAAAGCTATGAAAGGGGACTTTGAAATAAATTGATTTATACAATTGAAATACTTATCATTTAAAATTAAAAAAAAAATCAATAAACAGGATATTAATGTACTCTACCAAGTCTCATTGAAATCAAAACTGTAGAAAGAGCAGCATTTTGAGACAATAGTTATTTTCATTTGTATGTCGACTCGATATATCCAAATGAACTTGAAATAAAAGACACCACAGAGTCTGCCACGTCTATTTCATATTTAGCCGTTTTACTAACTGTAGACGATACAAGCCAATCAACAACTAAATTGTATGACAAACGAGATGACTTAAGCTTTTCCATTGTAAACTTTCCTTATTTAAATAGTAATACTCAACTATCACCTGCTCCAAAGACTACAACTTTTAGAAAACTTGAAATCACAAAATTTTACTAAAATCAATAACATAAAAACGTACGACTTTTC